GAGAGTTCAATCATCAAACTTTTTTTGTTCATAACTTTTTTATAAACAATGAGCGACGGATAAAACCTTCATATTATTATTCAGAGAGGTGACCTTGATAACATATGTCAAAATTGTTGAGATCGGAAAATAGTCCGTATAACTGCATAATTACCAAAATATTTTCGCACAAAGGCGCAATTATATTGTATTTTTTTTATATAACGTATCCATCTCCGCGTGTCCTTTTGGATATCAGAGATCTCGTGACCGGAGCGGGGCGCGTATCTCCTACGCGCGTATCGCGTGCTTTTACGTGGGAAATGCTCTTACTCACCCCCATTTCGCCGTACACCTTTTCGATGATCTTTCTCGCTCGCTCGTCTCTTCGCGCACTGCGCGGAGAGCAGGCCGGAGCCCAGCGTACGGCGACGCTGGATATATACATGCACGCAATATCAGCGGCAAGCAGTCGACACGCGGCGCTCGCACGAAGAGGATCTTGCCGTCGTGTTGTTTTCTCGCGGCTCGAGAGGGCGAGAAAGAAAGAAGAAATCGGAAAACACACAAGTGAGAGAAGTGCATGTGTGTATGTGTGTGTGTGTGTTTAATTTTTATTTGTTGTTTCGTCGTGTTGCACATACGATTTTCCTCATATGAATGAGGAAAGATATTCGCGAGATTCGTCACGAGATTCACAAGATTGGGGACCAGTTGATTTTGCGCGCGGAAATTAAAAATTGTGAACCGCGTGTTGTTGCGCGATGACGTCGTCGCTCGTGCTTAACGAGCAGCATCACGACGTGAGAGCATCTTCCCGTCGGACATCCGGTTTCAATCCGCGCGATCTTCGCCCGGCGGCGCGCTCTTAGAATGCTGTCGCGCCTCAGCTTCTAAGAAAGGTCGATCGAAGAGCCCGCTCGATCGCGCGCCCAGCGAAACGAGACCAGTTCTCTGCGGAACGGTACACCTCGCTCGTTGTCCGGACCGTCGAACGTCGAGGAACAACGCGGGAAGCACGCAGCGAGACCCCGAAGAGAGATAGATCCCAGTCGTCGAAGACACGCGGAAGCAACGCCGGAATTAATCGGAAACTGGATCGGAAATATCTGTTTTCGAACAATTTCTTAAAAAAAAAAAAAAAAATTGGACTGCAGAAGATACTGTGTGGAAGATATTGCGAAAGATACGCTTATCAGAAAACGGATAACTAATAAGAGCGCCAGTTCACTCCCGGTGGTTTCTCGATAGCATCGCGCACGGCCGTGCGCCCACCCCGCGCCCCGATAACACAAGTAGCCGGCGTGAGACCGGCCACGAGACCGTGTTCCTCTGGCTATGGGCAAGCTCCCAATAAAAAACCCCCTAAGTGATATCACTCGCGAGAACGCAAAGGCGGTCAGCGGTGAAGAAGAGGAGGAGGAGGAGGAAGAGAAGAGGACGACGTCGTCGGTGGTGATCGCCGCGGTAGCGCGATCTAGCGCGACGTATGGCACGATCGCCGATCGCGATCGTCGCGTGCTTATCACCCACGACGATGACGATTACGATGACAACAACAACAACAACGACGACGACGACATCGCCGCGCGTCGTCCGGCGTGGCCGAGTCGAGCGCCGATCGCGAAGATCGGCATTGTGCCAGAAAGCGTTCGGAGCGATCACGGGCGACGCGACGTCGTCACGCGATCACGAAGAAATACGTGGCACGCGGAACGTAACGGCGAGGAGGAGACTACTGCTATCGATGCATCGGCAGATATCAATCTGAGCGAATCGATAATCGCGAACGTTATCGATAATAATGAGAGCAGCCGTACGTTTGACGCGCCTGGCGCGTCTCGAGGGCACTGCCACGCAAGGATCGCCGACGACGACGATTGCACTTGTTGCGTCGCGATCGATGTCACTTCGTTTGACGCGCGAACGCGAGTTCGTCGTCACACAGTCGACCGACGACGTCGCGAACGAAGGAACTGGAGTCCGCGGGTCGGCGACATTTCGACAAGCCGCGGCAAATCGATCGGCGCGTCTCCGATCGATATCCGAAGGTTCGAGAGAATACTCGATAGTAGTACGGTAAATAATAATAATAATAATAATAATAATAACAATAATAATAACAATAATAATAATAATAGTATTACGACTACAATTAAGAAGCGGGAGGAGCGGGAGGATCGGTTTGCCATTCCGATTGTCGGTGGTATTGCGGACATTTCCAAGTGCAACGAATGTATCTTATCCGACAGTACTGTAAATAATGCGATAAGCATAATCGAGATCCGAGACTCGATCGGAATCGATTGTAGAATTAACGCCGAACGTACTTGGATCAATGATCGTGACTGTCGTCCTAGACTGATCGGTATTGTCGAGTCCTACGACGAGAAACGTAGGCCGTCGCACGTCGAGAACAGCGGCGACACGTTGTTCACCTCAAAATTTCTCACGAAAGTCAACGCGACGACCAAGACGAACGTCGCGTGTTGGAGATTACCGAGGCTCGGGCTCCGGGTTCTTCTTCTGGGATTGCTCGCGATGAGCTTGTTCTTCGACGCGGCGCTAGCCATGCCGTCGTCGTCGTCGTCGTCGTCGTCGTCCGCTTTGGTGGAAACGGAGAACCTCGAGAAGTTAGACATCGAGGAGTTAGAGATCCCGAGAAACGAGCTCGGCGACGACGAGCTGGAGATCATCAGGAAGAGCATCGTGCAAGGTCTCGGACTCCAGAGAATACCCGATCCTTCCAAGGTAGGTTTTGGAGAAGTGATAATAATCTCAACAAAAATATGTGTATAATACATATATATATATATGTACGCGAAGTAATAGAATCTTTTTTTTTTTTTTTCTAAAAAAGAAATCCCCGGCCTTCAACAAAAGATAAGGAAACTTGCTAAAAAAAAAAAAATGAGGTCTACTCGTATGTCAACGATTTATTGTCCGCGTAATGAAAAAAAAAAGTCGATAAATTCTAAATTATTACGACGATAAGCGACAAACGCGGTGACGATATGTCGCGTTCGCGTCTTCGAGTTCGTTGATCGACGTTTTCTTTTTGAGTCGCCGACGAGATGGTCGAATAAAAAAAAACTTCTTACGCTAGAGAAGCGAAAAACTTCTCACGACGTGCGCGCGTGTGTGTGTATGTGTGTGTTTATAAGATTTGGGCTGTTAAAAACAAGACACTCTTTTTAAAAAAACACACACACACACACACACACACTGGTGATTGGAAACATTTTGACAAATGTCGCGCGAATCACTTCACGATTTATTGTTGCGCAACAATAAATCACATCATCGTCAACAAAACGCGCGCATCCTGGTATTTTTTATTATATTTCGCACATGTGTGTCTTGCGTATGTGTATGTGTTGTTTAGAAATCGTTTAAAGATCCATTTACCCCAACGAGTCTGGGATTAAAATGAGCCGCGCTCATGAGCGATTAACGCTCCGCTCTTTTTATAAGATTTATAATTATAATACCTGCGATAGTTAGATAGAAGATTTTTACTCGATCAAAGTTAGCTTTTACAAGCGACGTCCGACGTAACCGTCCGAAAATAGATCTTATAAATTATGAACTTGTGCACACATAGTGTGCGCGCACACGCTCAAGTTACAGTCCTGCTCCGAAAGTCTCTCTTCAAGGGTAAACAGCCGGTATAAATCCAGGTGTCCTCGCGCGCGCGAGCGAGGCATTTGCTGGCCGCGCGCAAACGTAATACTACTCATTGATTCGCGTGTGCACACACACCCCTCCCCTCCCCCCCCTTCTCATCCCTCATATTACGGTATTTATAGATCGTCCGTAAATCATACGAACCGATCGCGGAGAAACGCGCCCTACGTCCGCACGCGAAGTACGGTAGACTTTCGCGGGCGAGAACTCGCGAGGGGTTCGTTGACATCTCGTCGGGTTGGGCTTGGGAAAAAGAAGAAGAAGAAAAAAAAAAAAGAAAAGGTTTAGCACGTAGCTAGGGAGCAGCGCGCGCGCATTTACTTTGCCGGGCCGCAACGGTGCAGCCCGGACTGTCCGAACGATGAAAAAGCGCAACAATATAACGTTGCACCGGCGCGAGAGACCCGCGCGTGTGACACGTTGCGTGGTCTCGTCTAAGATCATTAGTCTCTTAAAATACTCGCGCACGAAACGAAACCCGCGCACGTCGGAATTCTTTAATCCCCTCGACCCTTCCACCTGATGTTTTTTTTTTTTTTTTTTTTNTTTTNTTTTTCACCGCGTGTTGTTTTATCGCGCGCGTGCATTTTTTTTTGTTTTACTGGGGGAAAAAAAGAGAGATTTACAGGGTTTTGTTATAAGGAAACGCGCGTTATATAAAAAGAGTTTGTTTTTCTCCGCTAAGAAAACTTCCTCGACTTCGCGCGAACGAAGCGACGAAGGGGTTTCTCGTTCGCGTTGCGTTTGTACTTCGCGGCGATCGTGTATCTTCGAGATTATAGGCGCGAAGTGTGAAGAAATCGGCTTTGTGTTCGGAAGAAATCTCTCCGTTCTTTTCGGTAACTCTTTTGCGCCAGGTGTACTCACCGCGCGCGCGCGCGTGTCCGCGCGGAAACGCGACGATCTGACACACATATAGTATATTAGTATATATACGCGCTCACTGTTTGCCTAGACTCGTCGCGCGGCTATAATAATCGCCGTCCCTTTGTCAGTGCCGACCCGAGTAAACAGTCTTACGACCGAATGCAATTCCTGTCGTAGATAACGACCGTCACGCGCGCGCGCGCGCGTGTGTTGCGAGAGAGATATTACATTACGCTCTCATCTCGTTCTCTATATATTACGCGGCGGCGAGCCGCGACGACGACGAAGCGGGGCGTGTACTTCGCATCATCGGTTGATTTACCGCCCTATTGAAAGCCGCGGCCTCTCGTTTAAGGACGAGAGTCTCTCGTCTCTCTTTCGGAACCCGAAAAAGCGGTCAAGCTTTAATCGTGCCTTACGGGAGAAAGTTGTCGGGAGAGAAAAAGATTGCAAATTACATAAAAAAAAATAAAACGACTGTAAGATATATTACACTTTTTTCGAGGCACTTTGCGAAAAAATCCGCACACAAAAACACACACACACACATATATATATATATATATATTTATTTATTTAGGACGGAAAAAAAAGATGATATATTTGTTAAGTTAAAAGATGTATTTTCGCGTCGTGACCTCCTTCTTGCGAATTTCAAGATTTCTATAAAAATCGTCGCGGAACGATGACATTCTGTAAAAAGTATTTTCAGGACTCAATTGTCTCTCTCTCTCTCTCTCTCTCTCTTTCATTGCTCTTCTCTGGGTTTAGAAGTAATTTTTTTCGAACGGTGACTTTTTTGAAAGATGTATTTTCACAACCTCACCTCATTCCCGCGATCGCGCAATTTAAATAAAAATGATCGAAGTGATCCGCGTCGAGAGAGAAAACTGTATTTTCAGGCCACATCTCTTTTTCTCTCTTGTTTTTTTCTTCCCAATCATTTCTCGAATCGCGGATCTTTTCGGGATTACGGCATTTCGAAATAACACACCCCCGGGGCGATGTGTGTGCGTGTGTGTGTGTCTTATTTCTTTCGATCTTCGTGACACGTTTTGCGTGTCCCGCGCGTTGCGACTCACCGTGTGAGATCGAAGAGGTTCCGTCGCGCGCGCGGCAGAAAGCCGTCCGTCCGTCCGTCCGTTCGTCAAAAGGAGCAGCAGAATGAACCCGCGCGTAAGAGGCAAAAAGAAAAACGGAGACAGAGAAGTCGACAGAAGGCCTCGAGGTGCGAGAAAGGACGAAACAGAAGATCGCGACTTCGTTTTCGTCTCTCTTCCCTCTCTCTCCCCTCTTTCTCTTGTCTCTGCCGCGTTTCGCTTGAACGCGCCCGCCCGTCGTCGTCGTCGTCTCGAAGGGCTCGCCGCTGACGCATATGCGGCTTTTGTTCTGCAAATGCACCCCGTCGCCGGCATGTATGTACAAAGTGAAAAGAGAAGCCAACGACGAGACGGACGGACGGACGGCGGCGCGACGACGGCGAGAAGTCAACTGCTACTTCGGCTCGTCGAAGAAGGCGGGGAGAGAGATCGATGCCGTATTATCGTAGATTCCGTCGCGTAATTAAGTGTGTCAAGGAATACGCCTAGGCGCCTCTGGCTTATGTGACAACGACGACGACGACGACGACGACGACGACGACGACGATGAGGACCACATTCCGGAGAAAGACGTTCAGCTGGAAAACCGGCGGGACAGCCGCCTGGAGACACCGATTAATTTTAATAACTATATAACGTCGTCGTCGTCGTCTGTTGATCTTTTTTGCACGCGACACGCGCGCGCGCGACTGTAATAAATATGTATTACGTTTAAAGACAAGATTTCTTTTCAAACCGACGAACGTTTTACCGACTCGAAGGATTCGAGTTTTTGAAGAAGTTTCTCTCCCGTCTCTCTTGATCTCAGGTAGAATTGATTAAATTTGAAATCGCCGGGGGGCGAGTTTGTTCTTCGATCATTGTTTTATGCGTCGTCTCTAAGCGATTGGTTCTAACGTTTGCGAAACATTTCAGAAAATCTGTGTCGCGCCAATAAAGAAGATTGAAGATTCTATAAAGATCTTCCTTTGCGACGCAAATTGGGAGAGATATAAATCACATATAAATTGAACACTCTCTCAATCCTTTCAGTTAACGTTTAATGACAACGTCGTACCCGATTACGTTCATACGCAAAAAATTGCAACTTTTTTCGCGCGGCCCGGCGCAAAGGGATAAATTCTCCCGGCTCTCACTTTTTTCGATTCTTTAATAGCGTTATTACGCGGCGGAAAAGTCTCGCGGTGTGGCCGGTATACGTCATCGTGCTTAATAGCGTTCTTCGGGACCGGCCGCGACACGGCGGTAGCATGTGCCGACAGACCGGAATACAGTCTTCGCCTGCTGCGAAATTACACCGCAAGGCGGCTTGTCATTATCCAATCCCGAGCGTTTTATTCGATGCGGTCGCGCGTTTGTTGGATCGCCGCGCATTTAAAAAAAAAAAAAGACGAAAAAGCAGCGCATTCCTCTTCCCATCCACCCTCTCCCCCCTCCCTCCTTACCTGAAAAAAAATACGTATCTTTCTTACTTTCGGTCAGTGAACCGCTTCAAATGTGTATTAGAGATCCTCTCTTTTTGCGAGAAATCCAATCCGATCCTTCGATAGTAGCCAAGTCCAAGTTTTTTTTTTTTTGGCGAATTTTGATTGTTTACTCCGATGAAAAGTGACGCAGAAAAGAATAAGGAAAGAATCTACTGTTTTCTCTCGTCTTCGTCTAATGTTAAAAAACGTAATAAATGTTGACTAATCGACCTTCACCTAAGAAGAGAGAAAGAAGTAGAATATACACAAACAAGCTGCAGTATATTTTTTTTTCTCAAATGTAGCCGGTTTCTCGCATTAAAACAGTGAAGCATTAAAACGCGGAGATATTCAAGAGTACAACACACAGCGACGTCTGTGTCATTTGATCTCTTAATTTTAACAAATTCATGTTATATTTAATTAATCAATGTTACACATATTAATTAATTAATTAATTAATTAATTTTAACAACAAAATGTTTCTGCTTACAGTTAATACTTGTACTTTCAACTGTGTGAGTATTTTTACAAATTGGTTTTTTTTTTAAATGTGGCGCGCGCAACATTTGTTAATCTTCCGCGCGCGCAACAGGTGTCACACGCATCCCACGTGGTTACATCGGCTTCA